TGCAGCACTGCCTCAGGGGGCCCCGGCTGCTCTGGGGGCCTAGCTCTGAGGAGGCCCCCCAGGGGGGCTTGACTGCCCTGCCCTGCACCACTGAATCAGCCCCATGCCAGATGGGAGGCCAGGGACAGTGCCTAGCTGGGTTGCCCCATAGTCAACAGCAGCCATGGGCACATCCTGTGGGTGCTGCAGCCTTGGCCTTGCTAGCCGCCGTGTCCTTGAGACTCCTGTGAGGATCCACCATTCTCCTTGGCCAGGCCAGGGTCCTCCCTGGCTCTGTGGGTGTCAGGGTGGGTCCCACATGTGTCCCTGTCCCCTTGTGTCCTCCAGACTCTGGCGCATCCAGCCCCTTTTTGCCCAAAAAGCCCTTGGGCCTCTGAGCAGAAGCCATGGACAAGCTCTCCTGGCTTGTGCTGGGGATCTACCATGGAAAACACCATTTCTCTAGCAGCCTTTCCCAGGAGGGGAAGAATCTCCTTATTAGGCGCACAGTCTTCCCGAAGTTTGTCCTGTGATGCTTGTCAGGCCTGGTCTTCTTCCTCTTTTCCCACCCCAGTGTGTGCTTCTGCCCCTCCATAAATGCTGGGACATTACACAGGGCATATGGTGGTTGGTGTCTGTCACAGCCTTCACTCAGCCTCTGTACCATCTTTGGTACAAATTTGGGGTTAGGGACACACCAGATGCTGACCTACCATCTAAGTTAGGGATTTAAGTGTTCAGATTAACTGAGGCCTGCAGATGTAAGATGTTTTAAAAACTGCAGTGCTACAGAGCAGTTTGGTGGATTCAGAGCTTCTGCACCATCTCTCTTCCCCTTGCCCAGAAACAGTCCTAGAATTTTGTAAACGAGATGAGGACCCCAGCTTGCTGTGCCAGTTCAGGTTGTCGATCAGAGTGCGCTTAAGACTCTGCACCCACCTTTTCATGGCAGGAGTCTTCTGAGACAGGCATGGGCAGTGTATGTAGTCTGATAAATAATTTTCTTCACAGCAGCTCATGTGGTGCTGTGTTTTAGATTTTTTACTCAGCCAGCCCTGATAACACACTGAATTCCAGCTTTTGCTGAGCAGCATTTGCACAGCATCAAAACCACTCTGCTTCTTACTCTGCCCCCTCCCCCAGGGAATAGATTTTGGGAGGTGCAATACACTAGGAAGGAACACAACAGATGACTCCAACTAACCAAAGAAGTATGTCATAGCATATAGTACCATGCTCAGCAATAAAAGGGAAAAGAAAGTCTTAAATTTTAAAGTTTTTAACCCATCTTTGTTGCTCAGGAACTGAGCGACCTCATTAATGTTTATAAATTTGTAAAGGGCAAGTGTCAGGAGGAAGGAGCCAGGCTCTTCTCAGTGATGTCCCAATGACAGAACAAGGGGCAATGGGTGCAAGCTGGAGCATAGGAGGTTCAATCTGAATATGAGGAAGAACTTTTTCACTGTGAGGGTTACAGAGCACTGGAACAGGCTGCCCAGAGAGGTTGTGGAGTCTCCTTCTCTGGACACATTCAAGACCCACCTGGACGCGTTCCTGTGTGACCTGGTCTGGGTGATCCTGCTCTGGCAGGGGGGTTGGACTGGATGATCTTCTTTCAAGGTCCCTTCCAACTCCTGATATTCTGTGATTCTGTGAACTGGCTGGGCATCTATGGGAGGTGGTGAGTTATTGCCTTCACATCACCTGTTTTGTTTTGTTCTTTTCTCTCTTCTTCCACTTATCCTAATTAAACAATTATTTGTGTTTGTTTGACCTTGACCGTCAAATTTTCTTGTTTTTATTCTTCCTTTCCTCTTT